CCCAATGAGCTTGATGATTACGCAGACAGTTGGATAAGTTGATAGGGAAAGGGTGGATTAAGCGAAGTTCTTCACCGTATGGTGCACCGGTCTTGTTCGTGCCGAAGAAAGAAGGCAATCTGCATATGTGTATAGACTATTGGGAACTCAATGCGATTACCATTTAGAATGCAGAGCCATTACTGCGGATCATACTTGCAAGCGTCTGGTCCGGTCTGCTTTGCCGCGTGCGGGACCCTCCCCCCAGACCGGACGGGGCCGGACGGGGTGCGGTCCGGGACTCTTCTGTCCGGTGCGGTTTGGTCCGGGACTGGAGCGGTGCCTTCCCCGCATCGTCCGGGTTGGTAAAGACCCTTTTTTTTTTTTTTAAAGGTTCTGCAGGGTAGGGGGCATTGTTGGGGGGTAGTGCACACCTTTGAGGGGTCCGAAGTTGCGAACTATTCGCAAATGTAAGGGGGTACGCTCAAGATTCGTCTTATGAAACAAGCGACAGTGTCGTGACGGTAGCAATTGCATTGGGGGGGCAGGCAGTGTGGCAGGGTACTCACCTGTTAAGTTGTTATCACTTGTTACCTGATGCAATTGCCCTTCTCCTCCCTTCCCCTTCTCCCTTGTCCCTCCGTTCCTCCCTTCTTCTCACTTTTCCCTCCAGTTCTCCACCCATGCTAATGAAGAGTGAGAGGGCTTTCAAACAGAGAGGGCTTTCAAAAAAACTCCTCGTGCGCGTTATCCCCTTCAGACGAGTGAAGAACGAGAGGAGAAAGAGAACGAAGCCCCCTCGTTTCCGGCCCAAAATCCGATCGATCGGACGAAACAAGAAAAAAACGAACTTATGAGGTGACCATGCGTTTGGGTGAAGATGCAGGGGTGAAGCCTGTTCGGGTGAAGACGGTAGTTGCCTCAAATACAACTAAAATGACCGTGCGTTCTGGTCAGGTGAATATGGCAGCCTGCTGCTTTATCCGTTGCTGTGGAGGAAGTGATGAGGACGATGAGGGGGAGGAGGAGAACGGGAGGAAGTGAGGAGGACGAGGAGTACAACGAGGATGGAGAGGAGGACGATGAGGGATAAGAGGAGGAGAAGCGGACGGGCAGGATGGCGATGGGAGGAAGTGTGGAGGAGGACGAAGACGAGAAGCAGAAGAGGGGGGAGACGAGGTGGAGGTGGAGGAGGAGGAGGAGCGGAGGAGGACGACGGGCTGGTGACACTCACCGTCGGGGACAGCAGTATGGCGACGGGGGGGACGGGCTGCTCCTCCTCGATGGCCACAACGACGATACTTCTCGACGGCTGCAACGACGGGCAAGATGGCGACGGGCGGAACGGTGGCGCAGCAGGATGGCGACGGCAACGGGCAGGACGGCGCGAATAGCAGATGGCCGGGGGCACTTTCCTCTGCGACTGCGTTTCAGACCAAGTGAGCAATGCCCTGAGTCGGGGTAAGGCGGTCCGCCCTTGAGCTCAGCAGAATTTTTTTTTGGGCGGTACTGATCGCATTTTTCGACTGGGGCCTCGAAACTGCCGTTTCGAGCCCCATTTTTTTTTTTGGGGGGGGGGGTTGGGGGGGGGGTAACTGGTCGTCGGGCGCACATTTGTGCGCCCCGCGGGTCCGGTCCGGCAGTCTGCCGCACATGCGGAACCGCTGAAATGGCGTCCGCTTGCAAGTATGATGCAGATAGACGACCTTCTGGATAGAGTGCAGGGTTGCAAATGTTTCTCGAAGATAGACTTGAGGTCGGGTTACCATCAGATTGAGGTGTTGCCCGAGGATCAACACAAGACGGCCTTTAGAACTTGATATGGCCACTACGAGTTTGTGGTCATGACGTTTGGGTTAACTAACACCCCCTGCTACCTTCCAGTGACGCATGAATGAACTCTTCCGCGATTGGTTATAAAATTTGTTGGTGTATATTTGGATGGAATTCTGATCTTTAGCAAGTCGTTAGAGGAACACCAACAGCACTTGCGTGCTAAGTAAGTTGCGCGGTGCACAATTTAAGTTGAACCCAAAGAGTGTAAATGGGCCAAGCGTCAGGTTTTGTACTTGGACGTGTTAGATGGAGATCGAATTAAACTGGAAGACGCCAAAATAGCAGCAATCAGGGATTGGCCGACACTGAGTACTTCGACGGAACTACGATCGTTCGTTGGTCTGGCCAACTATTACTGCAAGTTCGTACGGAACTTTAATGTAAGAGCTGCTCTGTTGTGTAGGCTGTTCTGGAAAGAGAGTCTGGAAATGTACGTCAGCCTTTAAGCGTCTAAAGAAGTGCTTGATAGAGTACCTGATTCAGCCTTTAATTTACCACTGACGCTAGTCAATACGGGATAGGTTATATAATCCAACAAAATGATGGAAATGGGTACAGACCTGCTGAGTTCATGTCCTGTAGACTACCTAGTGAGAAGGTCGCTGCTTCTGCGTATTAGAGATAGCCGTTTGCTCTTAGAGAAGCCTTTAATCATTGGCAACACTACCTCCTAGGTCGACATTTCAAAGTGTATTCAGACCATGAGACACGTCGCTGGCTGAAGACCCAAGCTAGAATGACACCTCTGTTGATGAGGTGGGCTGGGGAGATTGATCAGTTTGATTTCGAACTGAAGCCAGTCAAAGTGAAGTATAACGATGTCGCTGATGCGCTACGTAGGCGAGCATATTTCTTCGGTGCCATTGTAACATGCTTGGATGCGGGCGCTGAATTACAAGAGATGATTAGGTCCGCCTACACTAGTGATCCAGTCTATAGTCAGTTGATTGGCAAGGTGCAGACAACACCACACGAAGTTCCGGATTATAGAGTGACCCAGGGAGAAGACAGATGTGGAGGACAGATTGTGCATCCCAAACAGTGAAGAGATTCGCAGTCTAATCCTAGGGCAATGCTGGTTGGAGGAAGAGTTATGCTAACGTCCTATGTTCCTACACGTGGACTGGTGTGAAACATGACTGTATAGCTTATGTACAAGGCTGCAATGTATGTCAGCGGATGTGAGTGCCACACAGCCTCCCCTTGGCTTACTTAGACCGCTGGCTATACCGTCGGGACCCGGAGACTCCGTGTCTATAGACTTTATGGACACTAAGGTGAGAAGTAGGAGTGGGAAGAGCCAAGTTATGGTGGTAGTCGACAGATTTAGCAAGTTTTCTGTTTTTGTGCCACTCCGTGCTGAAGCCAGGACAGACTTAGTAATTCGAGAGCTCTTTAATCATTGGGTGAAAGACTACGGGCATCCCTTGACTATTGCAAGTGATAGGGATACGAGATTTACGGGCGAGCAATGGTAACAGCTCATGAATGTTTATGGGTCGAAACTGACTATGTCCTCAGGCAGACATCCTGAGACAAATGGACAGACCGAGCAGATGAACAAAGTGTTGCAGCAGGTGCTGCGTATGTACATCCGACCACATCAGATTGGCGGGGATGAACATCTAGCTAAGATCACTAGTGCCTATAAAAATTCCGTGCATTTGGCTACAGCACGAACACCCACTGAGCTGGATTTGGGTTGGCGCCCACGTAAGCCCATCGACTGTCTGAACCCTGATCAAGTGCAAAGGCTTCCTCTAGGGACTGGCGAGTTTGCTGTGCAGTATGAGAAAGCCTTAGAAAAGGTAAGGGATTGCATTTGGCTACAGCACGAACACCCACTGAGCTGCGTTTTGGTTGGCGCCCACGTAAGCCCATTGACTGTCTGAACCCTGATCAAGTGCAAAGGCTTCCTCTAGGGACTGGCGAGTTTGCTGTGCAGTATGAGAAAGCCTTAGAAAAGGTAATGGAGAACATCAGAAGGGCACAGCATCAGATGATAGAACAAGCAAATAAACACCGCAGACCGTCGCAGTTCGTTGTAGGGGATTTGGTCTGGGTAAAGTCTAAAGAGTTTCTCCCAGAGGAGAACATCTCGCAGAAGTTATTGCCTGCGTATAGGGGACCGTGGCAGGTACTTTACGTGATTAGTGATGTGGATGGTCCTTCCTATGTTGTTGAGAGTCCTCCGCATTTTGACACTCACCCGGTGTTTCATGCCTTTAAGTTGCTCCCTTGTGTCAGCAATGAGCTATTTCCATCTTGAAGATCTATGATTCCTCCCTGATATGGATGGTAAATATGACGTGGACCGCATCGTTGCAGAGGATGTTTATAGATCTGGATGCAGGGGTCGGCCCCGGTGACAATACAAAGTTAGATCCGCTTATCAAGAGCCTTCGGAAGATTGCTGGTTTACTAGAGATGACCTAGTCGAGACAGCATCACACAGTGTCCTACTATGAGAGAGCTAGGCGAGGAATCAACATAGTTGATAGGTAAAGATTGTAACTTTCTCGGAGGACCTCGAAATTAGGCCGGGGAGAGTGAAAGGCATTCCACGATGCAGACCCCAAATTCGAATTCCAGGGTCAAGGTCTCAGGCCAAGGGAGGCCAAGTCGGTCAGTTTCAGAAAAGTCACAGTCGGGTACCTTAGGAGTCAAGTCCAACAGGCACCCGGTGAACAGTCGCATCCCAGAGGCAAAGGACACTTCCCATATTGAAAAGTCATATTCCACAGGCGAAGGACACTTCCCCCGGCAAAAGTCGTGTCCCAGAGGCAAGAGTCACATCCCACATTCAGAAGTCATTTTCCACTCATAGTCCCAAGCAGCAGCACACAAATAAAATTCTGGAAAGTACCAGGACTTTAAATTCTGAAGCAAACAGGCTGTGGGCTTGTGGTACCAGGTCCAAGTCTAGCAAAGGAAGCAGAGGCTGGGACGAGTTGAGGCTCAGTCCAAGTCAATATAAGGACTGGCCAGCCAAATTTGAAGGGGGAGGCTCATTCGTGAGAAGTGTGGAAGTGCTGCTGAAGCGCTTGTGTGCTATCTGTGAGAGGCATGCGTGAGAGCCCTGCTGGGCAGTGCTGTGGTGAGAGGGAAGGCGGCCATAGCCGCATAGCTAGTAGTAGAAGGTAGAACTGGTTAGTAGTGGATGTATTCAGAGTCAAGATTCTCAAGTAGAGAGCGAGAGCGTGCGCGCGCGCGCACAAGAGAGAGAGAGAGAGAGAGAGAGAGAGAGAGAGAGAGAGAGAGAGAGAGAGAGAGAGAGAG